CCGAACATTAGGAGCAGAGGGGGGAAAGCACCCTGCTGGCTCATCACTTTAAAACAAATGTGATGCAACATGAAAACAGAGCTTTGCTTAGTTTTGTATGTCTTGTCATGTAATTATGGCATAGATGTAGAGGAAAAATATTTATTGAAGCATACATGAAAAAAAAACCTGCAGAGATTAAGCATAGTGAAAACTGAATTTGGCAGACAATAGGAAGACATACCCCCACCCCCACCCCACCAAAGGCAGCCTTTACAGAAACACTCTGAATTCATGTTGTCCTGATTACTGAGAAGGCTCAAGTGGAGATGCAGCTTTCTCAAAGATCACAAAACGGTGCATGGATTAAATTACAATGTTTGGCAGATCAAAAGATCATATACGTCCATCATCCTCAACACATAAACCAGCAAGCCTGCAAATATTTGCACAACTAAAGAAACAAACAGCTATGATAATATTAAGCTGGGCAGATGTGGAACAGCAGTGGGCTTTGGTGAATGTGGAGATGATAAGAGAAGAAGTGAGTATCTGCTTTTTAAGAAGAGAATGTCAGCAGTGCCATGGTTTGAGTGTGGCACTAGGGGAACTCAAGGATTTCATTTGGTCTGCATTTTTAAGCAAACCTACCCTTCTCACCATCTCCACCCTTCCCAGAATAACATAAGGATCAGTTTTCTTTTAGTTCTTCAATTTGCTGAATGGTTTTCAACTCAAAGTAGTATCAAAATGTGAATTAACATCATTTTAGTGTGAAATGTGTACAAATATATATATTGGGGGTGCAATCTCAGAAAAGTCACTTTTTTTGGACTAGGGAATCATTCAGCTCATCATGTTGAGAAGAGAATTGTCAGAACTGTAGTGTAGTTAGGTTTTTGCAAATTCTGGTGGTGGGGGGAAAACTTCAAAAATAGATGTGGAGTTTGTTTGGAAATTGTATACTGCTGCATAAAGGAGAGAGAAGAGACTTAACAAATGAACTATTGTGAAAAACTGCACTGACTGGAACTAGGAGGCAGATATGCCCTCCCCATTTGGCAGAATTCTCTCAGAGTTTCCTATGGCTGTTCCTGATAGCTGGATCTTCCTCCCACCTTACTGAATGAGACCAAGAGCTGTCCATAAAACTAGGATGAGCAATTGTAAAGGGAGTAGAGGACATTCCCCTGACTCCTCCCATGTGTCTCATAGTCAGTCCTGGTGTGAACCAGAAGTATTGTCACATCACTTCTAGTTCTTGGATTCAGCCTAGAAAAATCATCTTTCTTCCAATTTTTCCATGCTTGGGAATAGTGGAGGAGGTGGAAACACAAACTATCCTATTTTGTGGTGTTTTGGGTGGTTTTGCAGCATTGGGGATCAAACATTCAGTGCTCAAAGGGGGAAGAGGGGGGAACAGGCTTCAGGGGATGCTTTAGGAGAGTTTAGGCAAAACTAGGGCTGATGCGCATTACAAAATTAATGCTGTTTGACACCACTTTGACTGTCATGACCCCATCCTGGGATTTATAGTTTGTTGTGGTGTATAAATTAGGAAGAGAAAGCTTATATATTTATATCTATGTCTTTAGATTGATGAGCAGGAAATCAAAATCATTATATGCTCATAGGAGTTTATCACATGGGGAAAATTGGAAGTTTAAACTGGACAGAACCCAGGGTTATCCAGGGTATTAGGGACAATTGCACAATTGGTTTTCAGATGACGCTGTGCACAAACTGCTTGGAATCTGAACAGAAAGTGACATGAATCAGGGAGTAGTCATTTTCAGGAAAATACCGTGATTTCATTTCCATTCCATTCATGAATTCATTTTCTTGTGCAATTGCTGTAGTGTGAAAGCTGTTTGCAGGATTCTCCCTGTTTTTGTGCTTGTTGAAATATTTCCTATGGTTCTTTGTTGCTTTGTTGTGCCGAGAGGGATGCAGCCTTCTTTTTATGCTCCAGCCAGGCTTCTAAAGCATCAGCAGGCAGAGAGAGAGAAAGAGAGAGAGAGAGAGCAAGCTTGTTTCTCTCCCTTGCATGCAGCTCAAATATCTCTCCTCCAGCCTCAGATGGTGAGGGAAGGAACAGAAGAGACACAATGAGAGAGAAGTTTTCTCTTTCCTTTCCTACTTCGTTTGGGTAATGTTCTGTTCTTTTTACTTTGGGGCAAGTTTACTTCCTGGCTTTGTCGTGCCCAGTTGAAAACAGCTTCTGGGGCAAAGTGTTTGGAGTTTGTATGTGGTGTGTGTATTTGTGAGTGATTTGTGTTATTTTATGGGAGTTTGCAAACGAAAACCTCATCCTTCCTTCCTCTGAAACAGCTTCTGGGGCAAAGACTGCTTTTCCCCTTATTTTCCCTTCTCTCTCTATGCGCTTGTAAATGACAGTTTTGAGGTTCATGTCTGGTGACGCAACTACTGCCTCTGTGCACATGTGCAAAAAAGTTATTTCCAAACCATCAACAGGATTTGTCTGCATCTGTCTGAAAACCAAATGCACTTTAATCATTTTTGGGATGGAAGTACATAGGTCTCCGTATGATAAACTCCATGGTAAAGAAGGTAGGGGTGATAGTTTTATAATTTGGCTAGTTGATGTAGGTTTATCTTGTATTAGTGTGGTAAAGTGTATAGTTGGTATGTAATAACAGTAAAGATAATAAAAAATGTGAAAAAAACAATTGTCTTCCTGAGATGGCTGAAATCATGCTGACACTGGAAATGTCCTCTTCAGACAAGCATGGGAATTGTATTTTTTTTCTGAGACATTGAGCCTTCTCTGTCAGAGAGCTCTGGTGCCACAATAAATTACAGTTCCCATGATTCCCTAGCACTGAACCAGGGCAGTGCCTCAATTTAATGTACACTATTTCTGGCAGTCTGCTTAGGCCCAAGGACTCAGAGTCTCCAGCAGAAACAGACAGAACCTGGGGTCCAGGAGGATCCTCAGGAAGGATACTGTTGACCTGTCCCCTCAGTATAAGCATTGTTCAACAACAGAGACAGAAGTACCTTCAGCATGCAAGGACCTCAAAAGACATGGAAGAATATCAGTGCCTAGAAAAAGTTTTCAACTGCAACAAAAGAGTTCTTGGGGTGAAAAGACTTCTCAGAAGGAATGCTTCTGCTGGACTCTTTTCACACAACTGGGCATGAGCAGGTGAGATAAAATTCAATGTAATAATAATAATAATAAATTTTTATTTATATCCCGCCACTCTGCATGGCAATCGGGGCGGGGAACAACAGTATTTAAAACAGAACA